TCCTGACATCGGTCATGAATTAGATTTATAATCTTTTTAGGTGGCTTAGTTTAGTTCATCAACGTATTTTAGCTGCAAGATATGTATCCAGTTAATGAACTAATACGTACACCGTAAACAAAAACATGTACACCAAATACTGTTAACTAATTACGTACCTAAACCTAAAAACTGTCTTTGTCCGGATACAGGTATATTTATAACGCTAAGACCAGACACCAGAACCCAGAAAAATCGGAACATTTACCTACGATTCTGAACAGCAATAAAAATTATGAAATATCGCTAGTTCTATCCACAGATATCCGTAATTATTTTTACTTTCAGTGAACTGAGTTGGTTCATCTCGTCACACATTTGTGGTAGAATACTCACGTGCTACACGACACTCGGAATTTTTCAATTGCGTCAGTTGGGAGAGATGCTGGTGGATTGGCAGTTGTAAATCATTCTGATTTCGACGATATGTTCGACACTCACGTATAGCAACTCCTTATCAAAGCCTCTTGCCATGACAAATGCTTCGCTATTCTCGTGTAAATCACTTTGAATAGAATATTGTTATGACCTAGTGACCTCAAACCTGTCAACATGGCCATTGGATCTACGTTATTTCCAAAATTCCTATCACTATCATTCGAAAAGTTTCTCTAAATTTATTTACAAACTTTTACATAGTGTCATTCATCGTCGTCATGTTTATCGACCCTCAAGACTCAACTGACTAATTTAGTTTTCTTCACATATGAAACTAATTTTTGAATCACTAGTTAAGAAAACATACATTTCCAAACTTTTTCAGCAAAGTTCATGAATTGAAACTAAAACATAACAGCACTTGAGACTCTTTGGAACAAACGTCCAACACGTGGATATGTTATTTAATCCGAAACTTACGTTAATGAGTACTCATCTCAGAAAATATTTGCGCCACCTTTCGAACGTTATTTGAAATAAAAAATAAATACAAATAAAGGCCTAGTTCTATTTAAACGACCTGGAAGCGAGGTGAAAATTTTTTATTATTTAGTCAATATTCAAAGTTTGTTTATATGGTTGCCCTTTGATACATCTGACGCTTTCAAGTATTTGCATGTTCTGTCTTTCAAGCTTTCGATTTTAAATGGGTTTCATCAACTGACAGTTTCCACGAAAATGTGCTTCTCTGGGAAAAACTATGAAAGGCATTCCAGGTGGAAAATTATCACTAAGTACTGAGGTCAGATCAGTTTAGGTCTCTTAAATAATAAGAAAACGTTGGTTCGGCTCATCTCTCATTTGTTGACAGCTTGACTACTCTGAGAGTATTCTGATTAATCTTCTTTAAACGTTAGAGATGTCGCAATCCATTATTATTGGTTGACACTGATAAAATTCTTTTTCACTCGCTTGGCCTCATATATAAATCATAAGGAAGTCAACGGTTACTTGGTGAATTATCCATAGAATAGTGAGAATAGTTGACGTATAGCGTGTCGAAAACGGTGTGTGGTGGACCAGACGATATATAAACGCAAAAAGTATCAACAACGTTAATAAAGATCATTAGAAATGTTAATATATAACTTAATTATTACAAATACAATAGAAAGTTGGAACTTTACTTAAGTTCGCCAAATTGATGCGTGTTCTGCTTTGGACTGGTACTAAGAAACCACAATTATAAATGCTTGGTAATTCCAATCTGGCTGACGAACTCTCCAGTAGTGTAATCCAATGCAAGGTATGGTATATTCACACTCTCAGTCTATAAATGTAGGTAGTGTTTGATTAAGGTTTCAGTTAGCCCAATCACAAACGAAAACAGAACGAGGGATATGTGTGTAACAATGTATTTGTTAGCAAGCAACAATATGTCACGCTATAGGGTTGCACAACGGAAAAGTGTGTCCAAGGTCATTGACTAAAACAATAGGTACAGTCGTTTAATGATAAATATACATACAGTGAAAGGTTGACAAAATAAATACAAATAATAATAAAAACTATTTACAAAATAAGCTTGTCAAGTCTATCACCACATGGCTCCCCCTAGAGTGTCCGGAGGTAACACTGGTTATAATAACAACAACAAAAAGTGTAAGAATATGATATATACATGTTTACAAAAATAATATCTACAGTTATAACTAAAAAAGATGTGAAGATATTTTGCCGAGCCCGTTCACCCTGTTTAATCCCTTCCAACTATCATGGCCAGCTCTAACAATGGTCTAATGAGTAATTTACGGTCACACAATTTTCCAACTGATTGTTTATGCCATATAGAGTCCAATTGACTTTGTACAATACACGGTTCTAGGGGCGATAACTGGAGTAAAAAAACAGAGACTGTTAGGTTCTAAAGTTACCGAGAGCTTTACGTACCCTTTGAAGTTCAGTAAAATATTTAGCAGATAATACTCTCGATTGTGTACTGGTTTGCAGATCTATGATGATCAGAAGTATTTGAAACATAGTTTTAACTAAGAATCTCAGAAATAACGCAATCGGATCAAGAAGTACTAGATAAGCACTAACGACTGTACTGTATTTGGGATTCGAAATCAAGCATTCAACAAGTACAAAGGAATCATTAGTTCATTCAAACACTACATCCGCCACAGCTTAAATTGGAGTTTAAGTGTCTGTAATTGATTGTACGTCTTCTTATTAAGTTCATCCTGTATCTGTCCGACAATGTATTTGGATAAAGACTCTGTATTGTCTAGAATGCACTCATTAGTACTAGAATTAACAACCAAAATCGGAACAGACTCACTTGCTTCCTGTGATTGTGTACAGTCACCATGTCGGTTGAATACTGAAACTACTGCTACCTAGGATTTGAACGACAGACTTTTAGACTATCCTCCCCCAAGAAATAATGTTGGATCTTTATATCCACAAGTTATGAATGATTTGGCTACATTTAAAACATATTTCTCACATTGGTTAGAGTAAACATTAGGAGTGACTTCGTGATAAGGATAAACAGCAGTTGACATGAAATCATCCGAAACGCAATGAAAATCGAGCTCATTTAGTGCTTGTGCTTTGCGCTGAACAAGTTTCCCAGAAGAAACAAATGTATTATGAAGAAAACAATATTTGATATGACATCAAGATTTGATTCTTCTGAAATAGTTTCCTCGAATTTGTTAGGAATGTAATCGCAGCGTGATGGATCATTAGAAAAATCAGCATCCACCAAAACTACATTAGGTTTTTGATTATGATTAGGTTCACCCACCATATTTTCCTCAGATTTGTAAGGAATTGCATCGGAAATATGTGAATCATTAAGGAAAACCATATCTGGTACAATAACATGAGGAATGTGGCAAGGTGATTGGTTAGAAACTGTTGTCTCACAAGGATTCAAAGTTTCATTTAACTGTGGTCTGCTCTGTGACTCTATACCACTTTTCGAAGTCGAGGATAAGTGTAAATGACCCAATTTACCAGGATCAGAATTACAGATCTTAGCATCAGTTGCAGCGAAATGAACATTGGTATGACAAACTGACTGAATGTGTACAATCTCACCACATTTAAAACATTTAGCATTACGAAATGCACATGAATTACGAGAACGAAGCTTGCCACAGAATAAACATTGACCAAACTTGATCTTGAAGATGGCACAGGTATTTAGTGTTTGACAACCCTTTTACCAGTAACACCTAATATAACTCGTACCCACCAAGAGAAATCAAGACAGAATCAAGGAGATCAAAAGTTGTATTGGACGATTGCCAATATATCGGAATTATCTGATCTAATCTGGTTAGCGATTGCAGTAGCAGTTGAGCACGGCGTTCCCACACGTGGTCTGGTACGGATGCATGACCGAGTGCCCTCAGCTAGGTGAGTCCATTAAAACTAATCTGGTAAGCATCCAATGTCGAAAACTTACAGGGCTATTTATTTTGGGGATTTATTTACCACTACAGTCTCACTTTCGTGAACTGTATTACATATCCTCAATAAATTATCAGCATAACATTGAGTACTCACTGGATTGGGATAACGTAGTAATGTAGTGGAATTTTTGATGTCCTGATGAACCATTTTACGAAATCTTCCTTCTTTACCGCAGTCGATATTTGTATGCTTAACACAGTCTAGCAGTAATTCCTTCAGAGTTTCATAAGGAAGCGAAAAGTGCTTTTCTGATAATGCTAGAGTTTTTAATAAGATTCATGCTTCTTTTCCGATGAATGTGAAGCAATGTGCCACAATATTATTATCCTCATCATCTTCCCTGGTCATAGCCCAGATTTTGAACCTTACAAATAATCCTCAAATGCATCAAAATCTGAATGTATATACGGCAATTCCATCACAGGCTCCATTGCGAGGCCAATGTGATAATTAGGAGTATTTGAATTCGACCCTGCTTAAAAAGCATTTACTTGTTCCTTGAAGGTCGAAAAAGATCTTTTTCACCTTGAAGTCATTGTTCGGCGTCTTCCAAATGTCAGAGAGTGGCGCAAAAAGAACTAATGAATTTGGTAGAATAGTCTATTTCACAAAAATGGTTGATGACGTCAGGATGTGGGTACGGTTATTCACACAAAATGGAAAGTCGAGTATCCTCACAAACACAGTATTACTTGTTCTCTTTCTCCTCAACTACAATTTGAGGGACTTTATGGGAAGCTCTTCATAAGTCTATGAAGGTTACGTCCATCTCGCAAGTAGAGATGGTTGGTCGAATGATGTTTGCCATGGGAACACAAATAACTATCAGACTCACTAGAAATAGTGAATCTGGGTTGGTAAGTAGTAAGTTTCAGGTTTTTGAAATTTCTAGGACCATCTCCTATCACCAAAATCTGAATTCAAAGAAAACAGTTGATTACTACTAACTTGTCACAAAGATATTCAGCACACTGTATGTTAGATAAGAATGGTCATCAACTAAAAACTTCAGAGTTTCGTCTACAATTATTTAAGCTATCTGGGATAAACTGTTATAGAGGTCAATGATGCAAGGTTCAGATTATCTGTTACATACTAATTGAAACGTTGGACTGGAAGAGCCAGTTACAAATATCAGAACTGTCAGCTGATAGATTTTAGCGTATTTTAAATCAAATGAGCTCATGGGCTGGTATGATCGTCACTTCAATTTGTCTATTGAGTGTTCTAACACTTAATTTTTATCCTTAGTTACTCGAAGAGATGAAACGCAGGAAGCTGATTATGGATCAATGCATCTGAACGAGACACCCTGTCTATACGTACGTCTATTAAACTTAACAGTATTATTCAGTGTTATTAGAAGGTCTTTTTATTTCTTTTGTTTTCATTTGGGTGCTTCAACGAACTATTCCGTTAAAACGGTATACCTTCTAATTAGATACACAAAAATATGTAAGAGTACAGCTCTGAATATTTGTCTGGACATAATTCCTAGTTAATAATTTATGCGTTTAGAGCTTTCTCCATACATAAGGGTCCCGGTTGTAATGCGGTTCAGTTATTGGTCTAATTGATACAGCTTTCAACCTGATAATGAAACGTGTGGTTGCATTATACCTCGAATAATATTTCTAAGTTCAACATCTGTTTCTTAGAGACCTGATTTAAGCCTCATCTTCCCAATGAAGAGTGATATTATTTTGTGGTTAGTTTTTATACAATATCAAATAATGTCTTTGCAAAATTTATCATCCCACACTTTCGAAACTTCATGCTTCATCTTGAACTACTCCAGTTAATTTGTGGAAGAAGTCATGCTTAACCCCATTAACCATGTTTTATTCATTTAATTGACGTCGTGCTCGACCCATTTTTGGGACAGTAAGCTCTTCCTGTGTAGTAGACCAATTAATTCAGTGATGCAATTCACTGAGTTCAAATGGCGTACTCGTTTCTCGTCCATAGCACGTGAATTCCGTTGGTGCTACCGAAATACGCGAATTAGAGTAACTTACATAGGGTTCCAACCTGTAGTCATCTAGTTTAAATTATTGTGCTCCAAGAAATAAACCCCATTATCCTAAAGTAGTTGAAACAGGGATTTTGCTAAGGATATAATATATAAGTCTCCTCATATCTCACTAGAGACACAGACTAACTTTTTTTAGCTCTCGACTTTTATTCATTCGTTGACGTACCGCAAATCTTCCTGAAAGCCTTTCGTAGCTAAATAAAGGTGCATCAGTGTATATATGCTTGTCTTTGTATATAGTGTTTAGCTTTCTATATAGGACCATAAATATTATCTTTTATTTATCAGTCGGATTCTTAGATCATGTGTATTATAGAATTTTAGAATTGATAGTACTCAGTAATTGCACTATATGGGCTGGGAGTATTGCTGAAAATAAGTATCTGCTTAGTAGAGGACTTCGGTCAGTTGCTTAATAGTATTGTAATTCCATATTATTTTAAATAAATTAGACAATCGATCTAATTGAGTATAAGTTACATAATGAGCTTCGTTCATATGGGTTAGCTATCGATGGGAGACACATTCAGAGTTCTCTGGTATTTACTTCGCACACTTATTTTTCTAAATACAAAAATTCAATTTGATAGCACGACAGCTTATCCATTTTCACTATGTGGTCATAATGTTTGGTCATTTCGTTCCGAGAGTACTCAGTTTTCGTAAAGTTAATTTCATCCGATCAAATATAAAGGTGGGTACCAAAGTGGTGCTTAAATTTGATTCTGTTTAAGACTACTAGCTATCCATCATGTAATCTTTTCAGGAATGTGGTAGTAAATTGTACTGTCGGAGTTCGTTTGGATTAGGCAGATTTTTTTGGAACCTGAGAGATTCGTTGCCCTTTATTCCTCAGAGATTGACGTCTGAATGTATTAAATATATCTTATTATTTTTATCTGTCGGATAATTTAGTGTCTGTAGTTAGTCGTTTTATTCAGTCTCAAGGTCAATTGTTTGCTAAACTTTGCTACGTGCGGTTATAACCCTCAGTTTTTTAAAACTCTAACAGAAAATAATTATTCAATATTTTCTCACAAATCGCTTATTCCTCTGAAGGATAACAAAAATATTGTTCATCTCTTCTGTTTTCTAAGGGTTCTATTCCAAATGTGTTTGGAATCGTATTTAGCGAATTCAATGTATAATTCGTTGGAGTTATCAATAAAAGTGTTGCGGGTACTTTACATCTGTACAAAAAATTATATGCATACAATTGTGCAGCAGAAGTGATCATACTGAGGCTTTGAACGTACTTTAACTGTTCGGTGAACGCATTTCCTGTAGCATCTGTGGTTAGGTTAAATGTTATTGGGAAAAAGCATAACTCATGCTTTAGTATTTGTTCCTGATTGGATTATTTGTATTTTATTTTGAGTATTATCATAAAAATAGAAAACTGACGTAAGTGAAATTCTTCGCTTGTGACGTAATATGTCTCGTCACTATCCCCAATATTCGGTGTTACGCATTTGCCATAAAATAATTTGTTATTGGGTAATAAGTTATTAGTCATTTTTTCATTATGGTAATAACTACTAACAATCTCTCCTGACTGTATCAAGATCAAATGATGGCCAAAATTCGTCTCCTTTTCTATGCAGCAGAGACTTACTTAGAAGGACAATCTGTAGAGAGTGTTTGTTATCATCTATTTGCTTGAACACATAAAAATTGGTACAAGGGGGCACCAAATACATATGCGCCACACAATAAAAATGAGTTTGTGAAGAAATAGAGAATGTAAAGTGCATATAATAAAAAATAAGAACAATAAACATAAATCAGTATACGGCAGTAAAATAATAATCATAGTAGCAGAAACAGTCTGTTTATGAAAAGTACAGCCAGAAAGAACCCTTTCAGTTAGAGATGTTACGTTCACTTTTATGAGGAAAGTGAGAGAGTTACAGCAGGATCGTCACTGGCTTCCATTCTGAGCCATATGTGATAACGTCTCTAACCACTGTGTTGTATTACCTCTAAGACCCCAACCAGGGAGTCGTGAAAGACCAACATAAGCCAGTCTTGTGTATCCTTTCATATTACGACACCATGTCGTAGACTGACCACCTTTCCACTTTTTTCCAATCAGTCCCAGCGTCGTCAACTAGTGCACGACGTGGAACTCTCTGAGATGACATTCGTAAGATATGTTCAAGCCACCGAAGTCAATGTTTCACGATAGTGCCAGAACAGACGATGCCGGACCTCTGCATTACTAACAGGGTGTTGCCACTGGATGTCAGCAATCCTTCGAAGACAACGATAATAAAACACAGAGTCGTCTACTATCTTCAACTCGGAGAAGCCCGGTTTCACAAGCATAAACCAAAACTCTTCTCAGCAACGCGTAGTAGATCTGAACTTTTACAGCCATACTAACGTCACGAAAACAAATCGGGTATGACTGTGCCGATTGTTAGTGCTAGTCAGAAACAGGTTATATTCTGCGCACAGTTGCAGTATACGGTCACCGTTATCTGACCTGAGATCAACAACTTCTCATTGGCCACCTAAACGGCTCTTCTGTGCCCGACTTGAGCATTCAAGTTTCCGGCTAGTACTACTATATCTGTCAAACGCACTTTCTGAAGAAGAACTGTCAATTGATCGTAAAGCTCATCCTTGATCTCATCCGGGCTGCAATCTGTCGGGGCATAGGCGGAGATGACGAAAAGACATTGTTTTTCACACCGATTTCTCACTTTGATGGAACTTTCTAATCTAATAACACATAACCGACTGTTAATGGGGATCCAATCGATTAATGCTGCCTCAGCTCTAACGCTCAGTGTGACGCCAACGCCAGCAAAACCAGACGAAGATGTCACAGGATCCCCGGATAAACGCACGTAAAACAAGCTTTTTGAAGCGACAGATGGAGAAAGAATTCGTGGTGCGTCAATACTGTCTTGAATACGGGTCTCGAATAGACGACATACATTGATGTTGAGACTTTCAGAAGACAGACAACCGTATCTGTTTTCCTATTTACATTATTATGCGAACGTTGACGAATGGGAGTGTAAATGGTAAACGTGGTTTCAAAAAGGCTAGTTTAGTATTCGTAGTCGGTGGTGGCATTCAACTTTCAACCAGCCACTGAGTGAGATCGTTTAGGTAGGACGGGGTTTCTACCGTATGCGAGCTGCTGTATAGTTGAAAATGAAAGAATACACAAAATTAGGATAAAAGGAAGTAGATAAGTGACGTAGTATAAACGAAATAAAAACGAGTGTTATCAAATGACTATGAATATGATTTGGCTGAAGGAGATTTAAAACAAGAGTAATTGTTTCAGTAATAATTATCATTTGGTTTGTGTGTGGGTTGGAATACTGCCCGAAGGCCCAAACCGAAGCAAGTGGTTTTCTTAGGGGGCCAAAACCGGAGCCTTCGACCTAAAGGTCTGATCCACAAGGCAGTGGAGCAACGTCAGGAGATGCAGTCCCATGGTAGCCGGTGACCAACACTAGGTTCGTACGTCATTTGTTTTCTGAGGATCCTGGAGTCCATGTGCACCATTGGTTTGGAAGCAGGCTTTACCAAATCCCCTAGTCGAATCCTCTATATCCATCGACTCGGTTAAACCACTGTGCATTTGTTTTCCTTGCCGATTTTGTAAATAAAACGCCCTTCGCGAGAAGGTAATGAGTAAGGCCCTCGTGGCAGTGGCTGTATACGCGTGGCCATGTGAGAGCATTTCGAGAGGGAGAGCTGACTCTTCCCACTTTCAGCCGTACCAGGCACTAGGTGGTTTAGAAACGCTATCTTAGCAATACTCTTTAGTGGAAACGTCACCGTCTCAAATCTATCGATTTTCTTGTTTAGTTCAGTAGAGTCTGTCGAATAATCGTATTTTCAAGAATTGATATATCCATTCTTCAACTTTTAAATATTGCACTGTAACTGGTGTGATTCACGACTGACATTTTAACATAGTAAAAGCAGTGTAATTCACAATATATTTACTTTATGTCTTTCTTTTTGTATTTGTCAGTCACAAAAGAGTAAAAAACGTCTTCAAAACACTGCACTGACTATTTCCATCCCTGTAACAAGGTTTTCGGAATTCTGTACGATTGAAGAGAATCGAAATTTCGTAGATTAAAATGACCGTACTATTGTTAAGTTATACCCTTCTGAGGATTCATAATGTTTTGCTTGAAACATATAGACACTGAACGCGATACCTTTTACAAGATATACATGTATATTCTGGAGCATACATGCTCTTCTTCGTGTTTTAGTGCTTCAGTTTATATCTTGTCTAAGGAAGTAACTCCAGATCAAGAAATTAAAACATATTGAAGGACACATATCATTTTATAGATTTATCTTAATGTTACTGTGTTTCTCACTTTCTAAAGCGTAAGTCCTACTACAACCATGATCTGTGGTTGAAGGTTAAGTTGTGTGGCTCAAATTTAGTTACTGGATAAAAGGATATGAACACTTCATTTGCTCGTAAATTTTAAACATGGTATTGTTTCATATCTTTCATTTATTCTAAATTGGGATTTTCATATTCCGTTTCCCAATTTGTCATATTTTCTGTGTAACTCTATTATTATGGTGACTCTATCTCTGTTTGATAGTGTAAAAACTAATAGCATGGATCCATACCTATTTAGTTCAAGTATCTATTCATATTTAATGTCTGCTAACTTTCAGCTACTATAATCTTAGTCTTTTTTATCTGATACTTGTCATCAATTTGTATTGTAAAAGTTTATAACTTTTTAGTATCCATATTTTGTTTCTCAACAGTTGCTTTCGTTTTGTTAGTCTTATACTCGAAATGCATACAATGATCGTTGTGATTTTAAGCAAACAAAAATTACATCACACTTCGGGATTAACTCAAATTTATTAAAGCTTCAATCCATATACGGACTTTTTCTAATACGTCAGACTTATAGTACAATATACTTCTCCATGTCTATTTAGTATTTTTGCAAATCTATGTTATACTTAAACTTAATTTGTACTCAGTAGTTTAACATTAACTTATTTTAGCAAACTTCGAATGTAGTCCTAATCCTTTTGTAAATTCAACTACAAATTTGTAAATCATAGTGATTTTCTATCTGATAATGATGACATCCACTAGATATGTTGTGTAACCATTTTAGTATTTGTGATTGTTCACTTTCTGGTGTCCACATTAACTATAAAATGCTTTAAGTGTGAATAATCCTCAGTGAATGCATTGTTCTATGATTTCAAATGGTTTGTTTAAAAAAAGATATCGAAGCCTAAATATGTGTAGATATAAGTACTAATCAAGATCGTGTGCTGATTACACATAATTTCAGTACTAAATAAGTATTTTGTGTTTTACTGCAAATATTTATTCATATTTGCCCATATGGAAGCATTTTTATGTTTTTGTTATTCTCTTACGTTGAATAATACTCTTTCCATGTTATCAACCTATTATCCCTGTGTATCCACTTCATCTCTCAGACTACTATTCTCCTTCATACTCTGTTATAATAGTTACTCTTAAAATCTTATGACCACGATCACCATCAATATCACTTATATTATTTATTTATTTAAACACAAATATTAGTACAAGGAGGCACCAAATAGATATACGCCACATAAATCGCTCGATTTATGACAACTTATGAGGGTATTCTTAAAAATTACTAAGGTTAACTCATAAAGCCTCTCATATTTGTTTCGAATAGCTTAACTATTACTCAGTACTGTCAAACATTTCATTATGGCTCTGAAAAAGCGAAATCATACTTTTTTAGCGTTTGACATCTGGGTTTTCTGGCTGTTCTGCTCAGTCCATTGCTACTCGATGGATTGAAAGGAGTTTCGAACTAAATAATTTGACTTTAACGGATTATCAACGACGTGTTCAAGAAATTCGACGTTCAGTTCGTCAAGGTATCGATTCAGCAGCAACATGTACAGATGGTGAGTCTCTTTGGATCTATTGTACTAATATATTTATTTCTCAGCATTAATGACTGTTTTAGAAGTTTATTCACTTGTCATCTACTACTTTGTTTTAAAGCAAGTTTGTCACTGGAGACTTTAAAACAAAATCACTTCTTTTTTCTTTCAAATGGCATATTTCTTTGCGGAGTAGACACGTATATGGCTATTCCAAAATACTCAAAATTTAGTTTGGTATGCGAGAAAATACTTAAGGTTAGATGCTGTTAACTATATTTATAAATTGTTTATTAAAGCTGTCGTTGGCTTATGTTAAGTTTCTTAACATTTTTTACTCCATGATATCAGATTCTTAATCAAATTCTGAGTCAGTCAGTAACAACGTAGAACTTCGTACGTACGTACATCAGTTCGAGTTGCCACACCACATTAGCACAGAGATGCAGTTGTCGATTCAAATCCCGTAGTGGTAGAGGTGGTAGGAGTATAAGCAGTAATCGGAAAGATTAGGGTTTGAAGACGTTATTCAAGTAGTATAATCCAGTGAAATAAATTTGGAAAGAGAAAAAAGGGACATGACAAATTCAGAAAATTAGAATTTGGGAGAACACAAAGAGTGGATGCACCTACGCTATTGCAAAACGATTTTGAGCCATGTCATTCAAGGTCTCTAACCATCGGCTCCTATCACCTCGCGGTTCCCAACCAGATAGTCTACACCTACCAACATGGCTCAGTTCACTTGTCAGTGACAACATGGATTTGTGCAATGTTTTGGTCTGGCCGCCCCTAGCTTTCTTCCAACCTTCTTGTTGGAGTCGGCTTTCTGAGAACTGCAACGGAGCCGAAGAGTCCTATCCAATCAGAGCATGATGGAGCTTTCTACTACTGGTCAGTAGCATAATATGTCTTTTAGCGGATTGGCTAAAATATGATGTTGATTTAACAACTGTTAGCATCTATAAATACCCGTGTTTTCTGTACAAAAACGAACCTTAGAGTAAATTATTTTCTCGTATACTTTGCGTCTTCTCTCTTGTGTTCAGGGCGCTAGCTTGAGGGTTACAGAATAGCTTAGGAAACGAATAGCGTTCATTTCGCAAGACTTATCAGTGGCAACGTGGATGGGATTAAATGAAGCTCCAGAGTCTCATCAGTATCTGTTACTCTCACCGGAAGATCTTTTCGCTAATCTGAACGGACGCAGATATTTTGCGAAATTGGACTTACCAGACGCGTATCTACAAATCCCGGTATCTGATGAAAGCGAAGATCTCCTGACGATCAACACACACAAAGGTCTGTTCCGGTATAACCTACTACCTTTTGGGGTGAAGACAGCACCCTTTATTTTCCAGCAAATTATGGATACCATGTTACAAGGCATTCCAGGGGCAGCAGACAAAATGGACCTGCAGAAGAAATGGTACCAGGTACTAGAACGCGTAGCCGATTATGGTTTTCGCCTCGGAGCGGAAAAGTGTGACTTCTATATGCAGCAAGCACAGTATCTTGGGTTCATAATAGATAAAGACGGAAGACGACCAGATCCAGAGAACATTGAAGGTGTGAGAACAATGCCTAGACCCAGGGACATTACTACCCTACGATCGTTCTTGGGATTGGTCAGCCATTATGGTACCTTCCTTCCCGATCTCAATTGTCTACATGCTCCACTAAACCACCTATTACAAAATACTACAAGATGGAATTAGTCTGCGGACTGTCAAGCAGCTTTCGAGAAAATCAAGCAACTTCCAATCTCTTATTGACACATTATGATCCCTCGCTACCGATAGTCGTTGCTTCAAATGCTTCTATGGTGTGGGTGCAGTAATCTCTCACATTTTTCCTAATGGGTCTGAAAAAGCTATCTCTCACGCTGCCAGATCTTTGACAACGACCGAAAGGAACTATAGTCAAATTGAGAAAGAAGCCCTATCAATTATCTTTGCAGTGGAAAAGTTCCACAGGATGATATATGGTTGACATTTTACCCTAATAACAGACCATAAGCCACTATTTGCAGTTTTTGGGTCAAAGAAAAGGATTCCTGTTCATACAGCTAACCGACTCCTTCGATGGGCAACCACATTTATGGGTTACGACTTCAAGACCAAGTATCATTCTACTACCGCCTTCGGGCAAGCTGACGCATTGTCAAGATTAATAGGCTCCCAATCAGAAAACCCAGAGGAGACTCTTATAACAAATATAAAAGCCGAGGAAGAATTTCATCGCGTATTGGATGACGCAATCAATGGACTCCCAGTAACCTTTGAAACTATCAAGAATATCACTGAAAGTGATAAGATACTGAGCACAGTTAAATGCTATCTCTCGACCAAATGCATCCTACAAATTTTCCTCATTTTTGTAAGAAATTTGATCAAAAGCATGTGAGTCATTAGGATAAATCATATCTGGTAAAATAACTAGAGAACCCCAATAAGTATATTCATCAGAAACTTTTGTCGTAGAATGGTGAGCTCCATTTAATGCAATTGTCTTCATTATGATACTTGATTCATTTTCTGTTTCTTTGTGGGCTGGTACTGCAATAATTTCATGAGCATTTCATAAGACATCGTCTTTCTGTGAGCTGGACAATCCAGTGTTTGTACACGGTGTTTCGGGGACAATGGGATTTAAACCAACGACAGGGCATGTCTCTGAAATGGACATTTCTGGATCACTGGGCGCATCATGAATGACTGCTACTAATTCGTTCACATTACCGCTTTTCAAGGATTCACGGAGGGTTTCATCTACACGTTCATACGTTCTGCAGTCATTTTCCAGCCCTGTATGCAAATTAGAAATTAATTTATCAACTTCTGTCACATCTCCAAAACATGGATGATTTAGCAGCCATGTGCGTAAATTGTCTAAAACATTCAACTGGCTCTTTTTGAAACGCTGCTGTTGTCGCTCAAATAGCAACTGTAATTGATCGGAAGCGATAGCCATTTTCTGAATCAGTACGGTAATGAAAATGACTAATTAACAATCAATGTCGTTGAAGGACACCGGCGAGAATTTTGTATGCTGATTGCTCGAAATAATTACACTGAATTTTTTCCAATTACAGGCTGACCTTGACTCGTTAATTTGAAGATTGAAGGTTCAGATTTTTTTCACCCCGTCGCTAATTGTTATAGTTCGTCGTTTGAATGCTTATTGTCTTGGCTCTTTTAATGCTACTTTTTGTATCTGGTCGTCGCTGATTGTTATCTCGGAAACGCTTATCACTTATACTCGGAACGAGGGACCTCTGCAATTCCCACGACGCGAAAGTAAGAACACAAAGACTGGTATAAGTGAAGATTTATTAACTCCCAAAACACGACGACGACTCTAGTAGAAAATACACCCATTTATATATTGATTGTATACCCAGTTTGATTAATAATTAGGAGGAAATCACATACATGAAAAAAATACTTAGAGTTATAACAAATCACAGACTGAGCATAGTTCATGTCAATAGAATACAAGAATATCGTATATTATACAGAATAAAATATTATACGAGAAAAGAAAACTACACTGAGTAATCATCACATTGAATCAGAACGGAAGTAATCTTGAACAAAACTCATAATGAGTAAATCAATCGAATTTTGACTTCTTTCTATCATATCACTTCTACACCACAAAACATCGCACGCCGAGGCAGTCGGTGATTGGGCATACATAACATGTGTCCCAGACATCTCAACTGATGAAGCTTCACTACTGCACTGATTGATTTTCTATCCTTACCTAGTATCTGTATCCTAACGAATGCATCGCTTACTCGGTAGTCCTAGGATATACGAGCAATGCTTCGAAGACAACTATGATCGAATACTAGTAACCTACGAATATCCTCTACTCTTACCTGCCATGTTTCATAGCCATAAAGTAGAACGGAACGAACTGCTGCGCAGTAAACTCGTCCTTTGGTTAATAGACGGATATCTCGCCTACGCCATAAATGACTCAAGTTGGCAAAAGGTAGTCGAGCCTTCTGTATCCTTGCTGAGATTTCGTCACACACCAGACCACAAGGGCTGATGAGACTTCCAAGATAAGTGAAGCGGTCGACATGCTCAACTACTTCACTCCCTATCACTAGTTCGGGTGTCAATGTAACCCAATCCTGAAGCAACATTTTGCATTTCGAGGGAGCGCATCGCATTCTGAACATGCTTGCATTGTTGCTTAGAGTGGTCAAAAGATTGTGCATTTTGTCAGCGTCTTCACCAAATAAAATTATGTCATCGGCATATTCTAAGTCAAAAAGTGAATCTCCCGGTCGAAGTTCGACCCCTGGAAATTTAGATGAGGAGAGTTATCTCTAAAAGCACGTCAACGACAAAGTTAAACTCAACCAGTTGTGTTCGAGTAGAGAGCCTTTACGAGGTTAATGTACTTCTTTCGTACTCCTTTCGGTGACGAACACTGCCATAGAACCCCACGATCGACAGAGTCGAATGCTGCTTTAAGGTCGAGAAATACTACGATTGTGGGGCGTCTGAACGTGTGTCTGTGTTCTAGAACCTGACGTAGTGTGAATATCTGATCTATACAACCACGTCCAGGTCGAAAACCAGCCTGTTTTTCTATAGTCTGCTCTTCGCGAGCTTTAGTTAGGCGTCGAAGTATTATTGAAGCTAATATTTTAGACACTATATTAGTCAAACTGATTTCTCTGTGATTGTCACAAGAGGACTGTTGTCCTTTCTTATAGACTGGCACAATCAGTGACTGAGACAAGTTAATCAAATTCTGAGGTTTACTTTATTCCTCTTACAGTGTTTGAAATTGTTAAGCTCCTTAGGACATTTTTCTTCGTGAGTAAGTGGAATCAGTTTTGGTTGTGATCATTTTTCATGGAAACCACAGAAGAATAGTTTTACTGTTTTTCGTCTTAACGTCCAGTGTATACTTTCATCTTTATTTTGAATCCTCTTAAGTGTTTTTAGCTCTGTGTTATTTTATATTTATGAATGTGAACTGATCTACCATGATCCTCATCAAAAAATTATATTGTAATGAAAAATTAGGTAGGTAAGTTTGACTAGAATATTTACTTAGTTTTGAAGTATTAGACTTACATCTCTGCTAATCACATGTATATTTTTGGTAAGTTTGCTCAATGCTAGTGAAATGTAATCCTTAAATTAAAGTGCTTCAAGGTACTGTATAATAATTGTTCATGAAATGTTGGATTCGGTAGCAGCGTCGTGTGAGTAATCCTAGCGTTCATCAGCTTGTGATTTGGCATATTACAGATCATGATTTAATGTATTACCGTCTCGAAACATTTGCGTCGATAACTCGTCCTAGTAATTTTTATGCTACACACCGTTCACCATTGCTAGAACTCGACCAAAAAAGCAGATAGCTAATCAATTCACGGCATGAAGCTATAGAATAAATATTATTCATGTTTTGGTTATCATCTATTGTTTCATATTTACTTCTCAGATGAGGTCGTAAAGACTGTATATCTCTGTAGCTTGGGGCGTTATTGATATGACTCATAACAAATGGATTATTGATCCATCCTTAGTTTTTTTTTCACGAACAGTACACATTTGAACTGAACAAAGATTATATTGTTCCTACTAGAACTGTATCTTTTAACTTACATTACCCTTGTTTTAATGTATGACTTCCTCAATATTTTAATGACGCTATCGTTTTCCTTCACATAACATGCGTCTATTTGTGTTTAAAAAGTACGATTTTCGTTCTGTAAAAATAGTAGTTATTAATATCATTGGAGAGAAGTCTAAAAGTAGGTTTATATATTTACGAATATCTGTAAATTATGACATGAATGTTGTGTTTTAAGCTTTTATTGGTGACGGTGGAGTGCAATAAAGTCGTAAATATTCCCCACAGTCTCTGTCTTCATCAAAAGATCCAGTTCTAGTTGGAAAATATCGATTTTCTTAATTAAATCATTCTGGATATATTTTGGCGGAATCTGCGACTGCATTATCCGTTGTGATGGCCGAAAAGTAGTTCTATAGAGTCAATTCAGCCATATATAATCTGACGTTAAGGCCTAAAAACGTGATAGGATCCGGTTATTACAAAAATTAGATTATGGTCTTCTAATGAGGTCTCTTATCTAGATTCCGATTCCTCTATCGTTTTTTCATGTTCATAGGTTATATTAGTTTGTTTTTACCTACCAATGTACAGATTTCATCACTTCACTTTTGTTCTCGTTGATGATGTATTTTATTCTTGTATTAGAGAAGAGGATAAATTAGCTATTAATAATGTACTCTCAAGTTTTACATGGTGGTTTAGCCTCAATTATCTCATGAATTCAACTATTAAATTATTAATAATGTATTTGTATTTCAATTTTTCAGGGATTATTCATGCATTAAAGCAATTAATTCATAGTGGATGGCTTAACAGCCGATGGAATTTAATCAGTGTTGATTGTGATCACTTCGCATCGGAACCATGGGAAAAAAATTTTGCTTGTTGTTATCGTAATGCTCAGTGTATACTTTCATCTTTATTTCGGATTCCTGAGTTTAGAAAACGTCTTTTTGGATGTGAGTATATATATCCAATGAAAATTTCTGACAGAACGATTAAACAAATATTGTGCTAGGATTAATTTTATAAAATATGTGAACCACATGTTATACATATAACTTATCTTACTTTGGTTATAAAATAACCCTGAAAAGCTATTCGGTGAAATAACTTTAACTGTATAATTGCAAATTAATTTGGTAATTTGAAGTAAATACTTTTGTAACATGCTTGAACAACTAAACATACTGGAATATATGTACAAGATAAGAATTAGTGTTTTGTTAACTGTTCGAGTGCACAAAAATAGGACTAAGGAAATATCATTATTCCTATTTTGAAGTATTAACATATTGGATTTCAAGTTTTTATTACCTGACAGTATGAACCATCATGATAATGCCAGTTACCAGGAGTTTTGTTGTTTGTTTGTGTTTGACTCTGTATTTCAAATGTATGTATGTTCTTCAATATCCGTCCACTGCTATCTGATATTCTCACAAAGCTGATGACGCTATTTACTTGTAGGTATATTGGGACCTGTAGCTTAGCTGTTTCAACTCTGAACTCATCAAATAAGTCATAGGTTTTAATCTCGCTCCATTTACAAAAAAATTAGCACTAAGATAATTAAGTCCATGAATTTGGAGTTTATTATTGACCGGTATCTAAAATGTTCCATACCTTCTTTTACTTATTTTATGGGCCTCGAAAGTGTAATGTTGTTAATTTTCTACTCTGTAGCCGTGTCTGCAATGCCATCCATATGGAAACTACAAGCTCTTTTGGAGTCTGCTTGGTCACTTGGTTTTGATCCACTTGGTGCATCCCAGATATCTTCAACGATCAATCCGAATAAAATTTCGTCTGGTGTCAATCCTACAGGTTCTGATGACATGATTTCTACTGATAGTCGTAATCTCGTTGGAATTGTAGACAGTACTGCATGTCTAGGTGCCACTGATATGGTTTCTCTTTTCGGATCGATAGGAATACGTTCGTCAATCATAGAATGTCGTGCCCCTTCCGGCCCTGGTGGAACTCACCCATAGTAAGGCTTCCATTTTCTTGAAATCATGATTGGTGATGCCACGTCATTATTGTAATTAAGTAATTATACTTCAAGTTTAATTGCAGTCAATAAAATTATTTTTGTTCACCTACTTAATGACGGTGATAACAGCTATAGGTGATTTATGGAAGTAAAATCTTTGATATTCTGTAACTATAATGAAAAGTGGAAATATGCATACTATAAGCTTTACATATTTCATTTATTGTCATCGAAGGACAGAAAAGATTGCATCATAAATTGATTTGAGACTTATTATCAAATCAGGTTACGCAATAATCAAGGGGTAAGGAAGGGATATAAGGATGAAAATAATTTACAGGTCAGATAATTGTCCAATTGACAGATATGAAGGAAAAACGACAAACATAAAGGTCATAATAATGAAAACTGGATAGTAATCAAAAAAACTTTTATAAGGTGATATCAATAACTGATTACAGTTAACAATAATTTAAAAAACCAGCAGTAATCAAATAATGAAAAAAAAAGCCAAAACATACCACTAAAGGGAATTAGGGTCAAGGAAGGATGAGAAGTTGGACGAATCTATAGACATATTTTCCATTAAAACTATGAATACGAATGTATAGCTTAAGTAAATTATTTCGTCGAAAAGAAAAAATCCCCCCACTGAATTATCTTTATTTTTATTCAATTACACAATGGGTTATTTTAATTGTTGTCATCGGTTTAAACAAAAGCAGTTTTCGGTCTTGTCTGTCTAGGTTCTCTAAAGGTTTAACAATATGAACCAACTCCTGTCGTTGTTTTTGGAATATAATTAATGTAAACGAGAAATTAGCATTTAATTACGAATCATTAAAAGTCGAAGGAGGAAGGAAAGTTAGCTGTCTTTATTTATCCACTGCTATTGTATACCGCAAAGTCCGTATATTGATTCATTAGTCTGGTTAAATGATATTTAAACGTAATTTTCGGGAGTTTAATTTAATGTCTTTACAGAATTGATGTACATCAGATGTAGGTAACTTCTTACTTTGTTAAGTCATTTAAGAAAATTATATTTTTCATTGAATATATTACAGTATTTATCACTATCTCTTGTATTCTGTTAGTGTTTCCACTGTTAATATGAAACATTGACACCGTACGAAAACACAACCTGGCTCATTTTTGGTTTTCACTTTTTTCTAATATTACAGCCTCTTAACTCATATTTACTCTTATATTACCTCAGGTAATAGTCATGGAATATCGAATGAGGTAAATCTATATCTAAAATTTACTTTTATTTTTATTCATTCGTAGGTATAATTTTCATTTCCAAAAGTTCTTTTTATGTGTACAATATAAAGTACATCGTGTACTAAAATAACGATAGAAAACTGATTTGAAATTTTTACATAGATCATCATTTCTTAGGTTATGCTTTTAAATTTTGTTTGTAGATTCTCTTCATATCGAAGAATTTTAAGAATAATTCAAAAACTAATTTATAATTGTCAATCATGGAAAATACTTCGCTCCTCTTTACTCGGTGATATTATAAATCAAACAGAAATTACTTGACAACTCCCTAAGTGTTAAGCAACTGAAATTTTTGAGACAATTAACCAACTAGAACAGCATAAAATATCTCAAAATTTTTTTAATGTTTTTCGAAATTTATAAAGATCATGGACACAAAGATTGAGTAATAGTTGTGTTGAGGGTTATTGTGTGGGTAAAAGCCAAGATTAAACAAAAATAAAGTAAAATAAATTGTCCTTCAGCGTTTAGAATAAGGTTGAAGATAAACACAACAGCAGATAGTTGTAACTTCGTCATCCAACTTGTGTCAAGTAGTAGCACTATCTGCAAGATCACTTTATTACTAGATGTTATTAGCTGAAAATCTTCTTTATCTTTATAAGATTTTATGATACGAAAATTCCTCTTAATAAGAATCAAGTAACTTTGGTTTGTTGCTTATCTGTAGCATTTTACCTCCAAGTATCTCTATCGGTCTTTCGTTTCCTGTATTTTGTTTTAGTTTTCCTTTTCAGCTTTTAGCAATTGAATATCTACCTACAAAACATTGTCTTTATCTCATGTTGAAATTTTTTTACGTAATCGCTCAAAATACATCAGCAGATAAAACTAGAATATATGTGAGCACATTGTGTTTCATCTCATTATTTTAAGTTTAAGACAATCCCTCGTATAGTATATGGAGAACTGTTTTACATTAGATCTTCCATAGCCTTCATTTATGGGTTGCTCGGTTAAAAGGTTTAAAAAACTAAGATGAACAACAAAAATATCGTTGTTGATGTCTGCTTTTTATTTACTCACTTGGTTGCTGTTCTGGTGGCTTAAATACTACTTATCATCGTCAGCCGATAGCGTGCGTCGATTTTATGATTCATTCGGATCCAGGATATCCTTCCTATAGTACCTTCATCGATGTTTTTTGAAATTAACCTTTAAACAGTTACTTAGATCTTATAAAAACATGGGGAACCATTGCTTTGCATCATTATCAAAATAATTACAACCGTCTGAAATCAAAAATAACTTTCTAGTCACTTATACAAGTAGTCACATAACAGCTTGATTGATTAGAATTTGATCAGGACTAGTATACCAGATTACCACCTGAAGCACTGAAGTCAGACATATGAGTAACTGCAAACATGCTCCACGTTCTATTCAGCTAGATTTGGGAGAAATAACAAGTGCCACTGACAGACTGGAAAAAAGGATACTTCATCACGAAAGATCCGTGAAAATGTGAGAACTAAAGAGACGTCATACTACTATGGGTACTAGGAAAGGTTTCCAACAGACTGCTGCCGAACCAGATGACAGATTCAGTAGACGCGCAACTTAGAAATCCACAGGACGGATTTCTTAAGTACTGGTTGTGCAAAACCGAATCGCAACACTACGGATCGTCATTAAACCATCGATTAAATAGAACTAGTCACCACACATCACCTTCCTTGACTGTGAGAAGGAACTTGACAGTGTGGAGAGGATAACCTTACGGAATATTCTTCGACATTATGTTGTATCTGAGTGGATCGTCAAAATCATCCGGAATTTGTACGATAGACTACACTGCAAAGTCACGCAAGGAGGACAACTAACAGACTCATTCCAGGTGGCCGACTGACTTGATTATCAGGACCTCGACATCTGAAGGAAAACACAATACAACGAACAGCTTGGATGCAACTAGACGATGTGGACTTTGCAGACGATCTAGCCCTTCTATCCTATACACAACAATACATGCAGGTCAAGACAACCATTATCAGTAGGCCTCAACACACGCAAGGGAAAAACTAAGATTCTTAAATACAACACGCGAAGTACTGAATCAATTTCACTTGATGGAGAAACTCTGGAAGAAGTGGAAACCTTCACGTAGCTGGACAGCATAATCGATGAACAAGAAGGATCTGATGCAAATATAAAGGCAAGGATTCGCAAAGCACGAACAGCATTCCTACACTTGAATAACATATGGAACTTAAAACAACTGTCAACCAATATCAAAGTTAGAATCTTCAATACGAATTTTAAGACAGCTCTACTGTGCGGAGCCGAAACTTAGAGAACTACCACAACTCTCATCAAAATGGTACAAGTATTTCTAAACCATTGTCTGCGTAAGATACCCAATGTCCGTTGGCCGGACACCATCAGCAACATACTTCTATGGGAGAAAACAAATCAGCTTCCATCTGAAGAGGAAATCAGTAAAAGACGTTGGGAGTGGATAGGACATACATTTCAGAAATCGCCGAATTGCATCACAAGGCAAGCGCTAACTTGGAATCCTGAAGGTAAATGGGGAAGAGGAAGACCGAAGAATTGGAAGCAGATATGAAAAGGATGAATATCAACTGGAAATAACTGGAAAGGATTGCCCAGGACAGGTTTGGATGAATAGTGATGGTTGGCGGCCTATGCTCCTCTGTGAAGGGTAACAGGCTTAAGTAAAACGATATCACGGAACTACTGTAACAACGGTTATATATCCCGCAATATTTTAGATGTTTGATTTAGATAAAAAAAACATGAAATACTGTAAATTGTACCATAGTTGACCAAGCACTGCATTAGTCATTCTTTCTAATTATGGTTACAAAGTGGAGAAAATTATTGTGGAAAATCGTCGAATCTCAGTCTGATAAGTTCGCAAACACTGTTATTGTTATTATTATGGACGGCCACCTTTGATCTGGATATGTTACCCTACTTGCGGCGTACGGTTTGTGAAACGAGCACTTAACAACTTCATCAAGCTGCTAACCACTACTCACTGAAACTCCATAAGTCGTACAAACGGTCTCAACAGTTGGAGAACTTGACTTCTAAACGGTTCTAGTTTTGGATAAGTTTGACGTGAACGACCTAGGAGCATTAAGTTCTTCCAGCTGCGACTGAGCCATTTAGTGAAAACTTTGTCGTGGTGTACTCTTCACAACAAATGAACCATAAATTCAACTGTTCGATACGAGCTTATATATGTATTTAAGATCTAGACTTTTTTCGAGGAAGATACTAGAGTAAATTGCCTGCTACCGTTTTCCAGAATACCGGTTAACGTTTCCGAAGCATTAGAACATAAGTATTACGGTCTATTTTTATTGATCTTATTCGTAGTATTCTTTAAGTTCTTCGTATAGTTGTTAAAAGATTTTTAAACGTTTGTACTCATTTCTTCTCCTTGAATTTCTGTTGAATGCTTTACTGTTTATTTTGTAAATTTCATCGAAATATGTTTCAATTTCGTAAACTTTTTCCTGTGTTTAAACTTGACTCATTCTCTTTGCAATACGTGACTGAATCTGGCTCATGTGAATCAGTATGCTAGAATATTAATTTTTAACGTCCGGTAAAACCTAATATTTAAAATAATCCATTAAATTATATCATCACTCCGCTTTCACTTCAGTTATATTTAAATGCATAATGTAAATTATGTATGCACTCCTTATTTACCTATGGATATACATATCTGCTAAGCGCTGTTTATTTGAAACTATCTCGAGTTCTGTTGTAATAATTGTTCACTCGGTATTCAGCAAAGCTCTGCAATAGTGTCTCCTAAGTTTTCGAAACTGGAAAGTGCATCAATACGCATAAAGTGACAGAGCAGTTGGAACTTTACTTTTTTGGCCATAATGCTTATTTATTGACGCATTTGTACCTACTGCTCTTGTTTTCATAACCCATCATTGTTTAGTTACTCTAACTTTATCTGTCATTCGTCACCTTGATTCGTAGAGTGATGGTTTCACGGCTAAAGCATCTAGCTTCCAGCTTGTGCTTATTTTGGCTTGGGCAAGCTTAAGGTAATTAACAAAACAGTAAGGTGTTGGTTTTTAGGTATATCCCTGGTGTAACTGCATGTACTCTTGATTAAATAGTATCTAGTTAGTGTTTTTAATGTTTAATATATCGTTTTTTTCGTAACTTTTTATTACTCGAAGTCTGTCACACTCCCAATGCTATTACAACATGAAGGTCACAGTCGTATAGTTATTGGTGTCGAAGTAAGTATTTATTTCTTAATGTTTCATGGGATCTTTTTTTAATGTTGTACGCGATTATAACTTTGCTTAATGATTTATATATATATATATATATATATATATATATATATATATATATATATATATATATATAAGTTCTTTGCGATAAAAATATCGGCGAAAAGCAATTTACTCTCAAATTTTAAGTATCTGACCTTAAATTTTCTTTTACTTCTTCCAACTAGTTTTTTTAATTCTCACAATAGTTAATGCGTAAATGGATAACCCCATGTTTCACCAATAAAAACTTTTACGAGGTGTTATTAGAATATTCTGGGAGTTTTCATCCATAAGCCAAATGATCAAATTTTTAAGTCAGACCACAAGTTATCTCATCTATCTAATTAATTTTTGTTAAAATATTAATTTCCGCCTCTTTTCGTTTTATTTTTTTTGGGAGGGAGGTGGGATCAGTAAACCTTTAAGTATTGATCGCTTTAGTGTTCTTCTTTTTAGGTTGACGAAGATGACAAACCGTTAGCTCTCATTGTTCTAGATCCTGATGTATCGGCTGAAGCTATGCGTCAAGTTATCAAAGCAGCTGATTATTCTATATCTAGTCCGAGTATAGATTTATCTCATCTTTCTTTCGGATCATATAATTGGATGGATGTTTTAGGAAGTATGCGTGTGGATATGACTCAGTTAGTTCAACCTCAGTATCAACTGCTTCAAATTAATGGATTAATAGAAACGGATTTAGATCTCCAGGTATAAATGCATTTCTTTCTTACTAAGTGTTTTACTTGTATAATATTATACACTGCTTACGATTGCCTACTTAAATTGTCCAACTGACCAGAAACCGTATTCCTTGATTTTTGATCACATTAATGTTTTTACGATATATGAAGTCCTGTAAAACTAACGACAAAAATATAGACTTATTCGGGTCCCCCAAAAAACAACAGATAACGTTTGATTTACTGTCATTTTCGTTTCAAGCTTACATTCTTAATACGTTTTGCGGTCAGTTGTAGTTTTTGTATATATATACGACTGGATTATAAAACATAATTTTTCTTTTTTAGGACGCCATGGTTCCGGAAAATGTTACAGTTGCGATCTCATAAAAATATCGTTTGGAAATGTAACGTTATTTTTTATCTAAACCCCATTCTTAACATTTTTTCTTGGATGTTAGTAATTTCCATTCATCTAATTTAATGTTTCTCACATTCTTTCTGCATTGTATTACTTTCATTCTTATATAAACGTTTTATGTTTCTTAGGTTTATTTTTATACATGCTTTTAACTAATCTCACGACAGTTCATCACTATAGGTATGATTGTTTTTATTCCCAATGACCCCATTGCTTTCACTTGTATTTCACGTATTCGTTTTTCTGCCCGTTTCTTTATCTTTCTACTGTGTAACACTACTACTTAATGATCAGCTATGATAAATCTGCGTACTATCTTTATCTTCGCGCTTTCATGTTTCATCCTTCTTTAGGATGAAATAGCTTTGAAACTAATAAATACATTGTGTTGTATATGTACCCTTTATTTCTTTGGCAGTTGTCTATTTGTTGCAGACTAATATAAGTATGATAGGAACAGTATTTATATGTGCTTTATTGTGGTTCTTGTGGATTACTACTGTTTATCGATTGCCTCTACACGCCGCCATTTTATTGAAATGATATTAGTTTGGTCTGCAACAGTCCATTATTTGGGACAAACTCGGTCCACCAAACTTACGAGAGATTACGAAAAGAATACTGTGACTGGCATTTTTTAAAAACCGAACTTCATCCTCGTCACCATTGGGCTTGCTATGAACCTGTCTTATCTGTTAAAATCGTAAGTGGGCTCATGATAAATACGTGATGGGCACTAATACAATTTAGTTTAATGCTAACAAGATCGAATTATACCAAGTGGTCCTTAGGTAAACTGACTTCAAAAACAGTCCTACTGGCTAGCAAATTCAGAGTTCTACTAGTAGAAATTATATGTTTGGAGCATCTGCACAAACTGGAAAAACGATGAATGTTATTTCAAACATATGAGTGTGAGTTGTAGCTTTTCATTCATTTTCGAGTGAGAATTAAAAAAAAACGCAGGTTATACGAGTCAATAACATCACACTAATCTTATAACAGATATGCTCATTAATCCCAACTACTTAGAACTCATAACTTCCTCTATTGAAGGGGAATAAAGGCAATGCAGTGAATAGAATGTTTTTATCGACGATTTCATCCACTTGAGCCGTATAGTCGTATCTGTAGTTAGTTTATTCGCTAGCAATAGTAGTCTATATTAAAATACAGTGGTATTGAATAATTTTCAAACAATTGAGGTGCCAGTGTGTCATAAACTGTTTACAAAAGTCAGATATTGGATGGAAGTTGTATAATAATCCAACGGTTAGTAAGAAGTGATAACGTGAAGATGATTATACGATGCGCACTGCTGAGGGGTCCCACACTGGGGTGAAACTGCCGTCTAGTGCTCCCAGGTTTTTGATGTGTGGGCGAGAATGATACTGATTGGTTGTCTGCTTATTCAGATATGTAGGTAGTCTGAAAGGTGTCAGATGAATTATGCATCCCCCTATCCTTATTATTATTGAATCACTTATTGTTGAATTGTGTCAGGCTTTTAGTGTGGAAATACTTTACGTTGTGGTTAGGCTAATCACGTGTTCTCGATCTGAGTTGTGTTGACGTCCTGTAGAATAGACACTGGGAGGGAATCTAGTGTAGATAATCGTTTGTGGTAAATTAACGTCCCATACTTGGAAACCCGACCGTTATAAAATTAGACGAAGTAAAACCGAGCGTTATGATAATTGGTGACGAGGTGAAAAACAAAGAACCAAGGGTACAAACCACAAGTTGTGACAGTTTTCCATTGTGGTCTAGCTTCGATTGACTCATGAAATCAGCTATTAAATTATCCGATTGTTACGTTTTAAGAACAGAATAATTAGAAGCCGTAATAATGGCTGATTACTAGTTGTGAAAAATAATTATTAAGGACTAGGACAAACGATAGATTATGGAAGATATAAAGTAAGATTGAAACCCTGGTCGGATGGCAAACGGAATACTTTTTCACACAAAGGTCAGGCTTCGATTAGTTAATGGTTACGGTCACTGCTATGCATGGGTTTTACACTTTTATTCTTTTGAACCGATCCTTCTGACCATGAGTTATTTTGAAGGCAGAATGACTAGCATCAACTAGATATTCCAGGATTGAGGTTCTGACTGATTTTTATAGTCCTTTAAATGATCAGGCAGGGTAGTATTCTGAGGTGCTCTTTCTAAAGGAGTTGGGTTATGTGGTCAGTATAATCTACTCCACATCAGAAAGTAAACTGATAGGTTCTCATTGAGTTGGATCGGCGCGGGAGTTTGTCTTTCACACAATTACGAGTCAAATGCCGACTCGAAAAGACGATATGAAGCCTAACCGAATGGAGTGGTTTTCCCAGATATCTCGAAAGTGATTTCGAGGATTTCTGCCACGGTTTATTCTTCAGACTAAATGTCCATAAGTAGGGTCTTCTTTGGTGTTATGTAGACACTCACATTGTTATTCTGGTTTCAGAAATCTATCAATGAATCTAGGTGGATGCGTATTGTTGGTCAGTACCTTCCTTAGTATATCAAGTTCGACACTGGTCGTATCCTCGGTTCAGATTTATCTACTCCTCGTGCATAGAGAATGGGTAAGGATTCTAGCTTGGTTTAGTGACGCCCAACTTTGGAAACTCGTCTACCATATATTCCAGGTTGGCTTTCTATATATCAGCCTTTGTAGAAAACCATTTGATCTCTTAAACAAAATACTTAGGGAGCGGGATTCCAAATCAAACTCTGATTCTGTTGTGAACTTAATTGATCGATGGTAACTACTGAACTTATTCAGGACGTTGAAACTGGTATTTTTGTCCCAAATAACGAGACTCTTCTGCATAAATGGAAACTATCAATTAATAATCTAGGCATTGTTGGCTAGAAGTGGGGTGGGTGGTGACTCTGTCTCTACACCGTCAGTTAGTTTATGAATCTCGTATGATTTAAATTCGATGTTCAAAATTACGTTGAAGAAGTTATTGTTCGAGAAAGTGCATGAAACATCGAGATCAAGTTTATTTTCTTCGATACAACATAGTAAGCAATATGCTTCTGTGGGAGAAACATTTGTGAAAGCAGGGGTAACATTTAATAGAAACATTTATCTGATTACGTTGACGCAGAACACTGAATCAGTACTGAAGCATCTACTGAGTTGATTTTTGACTGGTCGTAGAATCTGTAGCCAGCCATTTAGTAATCCCACAATATGGCAAGTTATTCATGTCAAATACACGGCAGAGAAGAATATCCTATGTAGTTGGGAGGTCATATAAACGTGGAGCAATGGATCCAGCTGGCCTAACTTTTTACAAGAGGTTTTCACTAATGACTGATTCATCTTCTTAAGTATTTCAAATAATTTCTGCCCAGTTTGTTCTGTGACATCTTTCTGAGATTTTATCTAAGAAACATGTTGGCATCAAACTGAAACAAGAATGATTTTGAAATATAATCGTTTTGATTCATGACAACGTTTGCAATACCTTTATTTAGACGACTTTGCGCAATGTATTTGTTTCTCAGTAGGTCAAGTAGTTGGAATGTATGTCCTTTAGAATGTAATCGTAGCAGTAATACTAGTAGATTGCATGCACTGGACTGCGTAGAATTTTAATCCGAAACAAATTTCACATCCTATCATTCTCGAATACCTGTGGCATCTTCAGGTTATCTATGAGCTCTTCAGACTAGGATTCAAACTGATTCAGCGTTATTTTATAAGGTCTTTGGGAATCGAATCACGAATCTCAGGAATCACTGACTCTAACATGATAAAAGTAGGAGACTCCGGTAAAGACAAGTTCTGGCCGCAAAGTAAGATGGCCTCAAAGCTTTGTCTGTACAATGTTTGATCGATAAATTTCTATTATTTTGAATATTAATTATAATTCTTCACCTCCATTTTATACATATAGATAATAAAGCTCATGTTATACACCATTAAAGTCCTCATATCTTATGTACCCTTACACTTATATTAATATTTTTTTAAAAAACGATACTATATTCCTTCTGTTTCTTACCATTATTTTATATAACTACGCAGACGGACACGAACCAAATACACAGCACACACTAGCTTCATTCTAATTTTGTATAAGCCGATGTCTTTAAACACTTGTAAATACCTTATTCAGTTTATTATTCTTTGTGCAAACACAAACACCTTTTTTCATATATCTTTGTTTGCAACTTATATGCAATTGAGTTTGTTGACATTTAATTTGGTTAAGTGATTTTGTCAATTTATTTAACGGATTGAGTCATACGTACAATAACAACTTATATATATCATTGTACCTGTATTATTGTTGCGAATGTATGAACATGTATGTTTGAGCATTGCTTACTGACTACGGATAAATTCATTCTGCTAGCTTCACTATTAGCTGCTTAACTGATTCGATGCTTCATTCATGTCCAGAAATATATATGTATACACTTAATACTATACACTCAACTCGCTGACTCACTGATTTACCTCTCCACTTTGTGATCTGAGCTATCTGCTTTTCTTTTCCTTCTCATTTCAAACAACATTGAGGTCGATATAATAACTTTTACGAGGGCGATTGTTTAACAAGGTACAGCCTGCACGACACACTTCCAGAAATATCGCTATCGTTCTAAATATATCTTAGAACCACTTCATTTCTCACATCTAATTTTACTGGGTTGACATACTTCGATTATACAGGTGTTATATGTAGAGGTGTAGTGGCATTGGACAATAGCCACACAATCCACAAAGCTGTGAACACGAGACTACTCAGGAAATAGATAGTCAATATTTAACGCGGAGAAATACCTAACAATGGAGAAGGCGCGAACAATGAATTGAATGGACTGGGGTTGATCGAGTGGCATGGCTCGGCCATGCAGGCGTGGTCCCTGCTGGATGTTATCCTATATCTCATTCATATTAAATATATTGTTCTTTCTCTATCCTAACCTTGTTCCTCATCAGGTATTGGTAATTGATACGATACAGTGAGTTGGTGTAGTCAATGGTGTGACTTCCACGTAAGATCTTATAGATTAGGCAGTTATATCATGACGAATCTACAATTTTGGGATTAGGTCTATTATTAGAGCAGTACTAATATCATAGTAGACCATAATTCCACAGAGGCATCGCCAATCTCTGAATATCTGTGCCATCTTTAATGGTGAGACCGCCGTGATCTGGTACACCGAACAATAAACTGTGAGTCTGTCCCTTGTTGGAAGATTCAAATGGTACAAATGGTTGTGGACGGAATAGAAGAAGCTTTCACTTAACAGGCTTCAGTGTCTAGTAGCAGGGGATCACCAAACCCTCCAGGCAGGAACCTAGGTATATTAACAATAAAAGAGGAAAAGAAATTAGTAAATCATAGTGTGATACTATCCTTAGTCCTTAAGAATAGATCAAGTTGTCTCTTAAAGGAGGCTGCAATTAAACGCAACTCAATTTCGTAAATGTGCCC